CCGTGTTTGTACGGGGAGGGGAAGGAGGCGGTTTTGGTTTAGCTGCAGTTCCCTTTGAAAGAGATCCAAAGGCAGAACTTCTCTAACTCACAGCCTTTAATTAATATTTTTGAGACTGGGCTCATGAAGATGATTAATCCATTAGTGCCGTAAGTGGTTGTAAGGGAAATGACAGTGCGTGCAATTTACTTCAGAAAACTTTATTCTTCATTATTTACATTTTAACGTGTTTTAGAAATTGTTTAAAACCTTAGATGTTAAAAACTAAACGTGTAGTTCTGTGCAGGTAATGTTAGGAATGCAGAGAGTATATATTTTACCAGATGATCTTTAAGGTCCCTTCCAACCCAACCCATCCTGTGATTCTATGGTAACTTTTTCTGATAACTGCTTAATTGCACTTCCAGTTAAATGGAAGGTGGGACAGTGTGATGTTTTCAGGAGTTTGGATGAAGGACAGAAGATGTCAGGGAGAGCTGTAAGGGCCCTAAGCAGCCTGAACCAGACAGAGCCTGTGCCCACTGCCCACAAGCCCTGCTTCAGCTCAGCCCTGACCCTGCAGTCCCTGCCTCAGCACGGCCACCAGGCAGCCTCTGGCCTTGTCTCCTGGATGGACCTTGGACCTGTGTTGTTTCCAGCCCTGCCTCTGGCCCCAACTGCTGCTGCTCCTAACTGGACTCCCTGGGTGGACCCTGGACATGATTCATCTTGACCGCTTAGGTGGACAGTCTCAGTGGACCCTGCTTTGTTCAGGTCTGTTGGGACTGTACCCTAGCCCCAAGAGTACCACCAGGCCTGTGGTCACCCTGGGCTCCTGGCTCACACCCTTGGAGAGGATTCCTGCTCTTGCTGCTCATAGATAAGAATTCATGTTAGAGACCCCCTGTCAAAATAAAAGTTCTTGTGAAAATGAAAACTGGATTTTAGTGGATAAGAGAAAAGTGCTTTTGGGGGGTTTTAATCTACATATATTTTGCCTTCTTTTTACCCCAAGAAAATACCTTAAAAAAAAAACCCTCACCAAATCACAAAACAAAACTTGCTTTGATCATAGCTTGTGAATAAGCTTATTGAGAAACTCTTTCAGGTGTGTACTTTGATACGTGTTTGATAATTCTCTTATGATTTTGTAGTTGTCTTTAGGCAGCAGAAATGGAAAAGCTCTGTCTCCACACAAGCAAAAATGCCTCCTTGTGATTTTGTACCTGAAAAATATGAAGTAAGTCTTACATACTACACTGTATTTAAGTAAGATTGCATTACTAGATTGGAGTGATAGACTTATCTGCTATAAAAAGTCAGTTCATTAAATAGTTTGGACAAACCCCAATTCCGTTCCAACCAGGATGCAACCTATAGATGTACCTCTGTGGCAGTTTTGTAACATGTTGGCTACACTGTTGATTTGAAAAACAAAGGAAGAGAGAAGTGCAGAACAGAAGTCTTATTTCAAAAGCTGAGTTTCAGAGGTTTGGAGAATCTTCTACATGCCAGAATTTGTTAAAGTCTTAGTTCTGTGAACAACTGCTGTAGACAGCTGTCTAATCTATGTGATCCACTGCAGCTCCATTAGTCTGGATCTTCAGAAAGCATAAATGGATACTGACTTCTTTTATTCCGCCCAGTCCCATCCATATGAATATATGCGGAAGATTCGTGAACAAAATATTTCTCCTTCATTGCGAACGTATTACAAGAGGCCATTGTTGCTGCATCAAGGCCACATGCAGTGGTTATTTGATTATGAAGGACGAAGATACCTTGATCTCTTTGCTGGAATTGCCACTGTCAGTGTTGGTCACTGTCACCCGTAAGTATGTTACTATTTGATTGATGCTATAAAATACAGGAAGAGATACTTACTTTGGTTTTGTTCTTTGTTAATCTGTGGCATTGTGAGCCTAAAACCAGAATATATTTCACTGTATTGACATGTATGGTTTACATTAAGGTCAATTTCCACTGCATTTTGAAGAATTAATCGATTCTGTCTACTTGCTCATTGATCTGGCAAATGGCACAGTGTCTGAATTTTCAGGATTAATAACACATGGGTGTGCTCATGTATAAGTGCACATGTGTAGAATTGAACCCCTTTGTCTCTTTTTGTGCTACATACAGGAAGGTAACTATGGCTACCCAGAAACAGCTTGCTCGCCTCTGGCATACCTCTAGTATCTATATGCACCCGTCAATCCAGGACTATGCTGAAAAGCTAACTTCTCTTTTTCCAGATCCACTTAAGGTATTTTGCTCCTGGCAGGAGCAGGGGCTGGTGAAGGGGATGTCTATAAGAAACATTTGATATAAAAATATATATTAAATAAGTGAGAGCTACAATGTCTGTGGAGAGAAAATCTGTATGGAGACTACAGACTGTCAGAGAGCATGATGACCTCAAAGCCTTTTTTTTTAGACCTATGTGTAGATAAGCATAATATCCCAAGCTCCTGTTTTGTTTGTTCTCTCCCTCAAGTTGTCAATGTGAAAGGGCATTTTCAAGCTTAAAAGTTACTGAAGGAACCGAGATGTTAACTAGTCTTTCTTGTAGTCAGGTTTAATTTGCTTGATCTCATAAAAATTCCCAGTGAAAAGTATTTGACAGTACTTTGTGTAGTGACCTTTACTGACATTTAAATAAAGAACACACGTAACTGCCATGTTTCATATGCCCAGAAACAGTAAGAAAAATACTGGCTTTTTTTCAGGTAAAATAAACTGCTGATAAAATGAAATTGGGCTAGCAGAAGAATATGAAGTTACTTGGAAACAAGCAATCTTGGAAATGGAAGGAGAGTAACAAACACAAAACAATACAAAACAAAAGTGTAAAGCATCTGAATAGATTAAGCAGTGGAAAATCTCAACCACTCCTGAAAATTGACTTTAAAAGTGGTGACAATAGAATTTGAGCTGTTTTCAAATCTCAAAACTCATGAACAGCATATACCCTTAATCCTCATTTGTTCCCAGTAAGCAAACTGCTTATCTCTTCTATTCAATAGTTGTGTCTGTGTATGTCACTCCTAGTAACTAAAATGCAGGTACGCTGTTACGGCCCTTTTTACTTCTGTGAAGGTTATTTCTATTCAGTCTGTCACGTTCAGTTTGACCCAGGCACTTTCATTTTTCTTTAAATCACTGTTCCATTTTAGGAAAATCTGAAGACTCTAACTCTTAAAGATTTTTCTTTACTCTTTCTGAGTAAATCAGCTTGAAGCTTGACCTTAGTTCTCATCTGTAGCATATGGGCAACTCTGTTTATTGCAGTGAAGTAATCTTCTGGTAGTGATAGGTTATAGCTCATGATGTTACCAAATTAAATGGCCTGATGCTGAGCAAGGTGGTGGTTGTACGCTGTACTGATCCTAAGCATTCTCCTGTAGGTGGTTTATCTAACCAACAGTGGGTCAGAAGCCAATGATTTGGCTATGTTCATGGCAAGGCTATATACTCGCAACTTCGACATCATCTCTTTCAGGTAATGGTCATCATTTGTTTACGTCATCAGTATCTATCTGCCTTAGCCAAGAAATAATAGAGAACTCTTTAACCCCAGATCTGCTGAGTAGAATGCTATAAAATTATCTTATTAAACAAAAAGGAGTAAAACAGGAGTAGATTTGCTACAGTACATTAGGACTAGCTTGCATATAAAAAACCTACAATTTTTGCCTTTGTTACTTAGAAAAGGGTCTAGTCTCTGTGCTAAGAATGTGCTTTGGCAGACCTTTGTTCAGAGCCACAGCATGCTTCAGCAATTGCTGCTTTCTTCCTTCATTCCACCCCTGCAGTATCTCCCTTTGTGGGAGTACAAAGGTACCTCTGGAATAATGGTGCAGTGAACCGCAGTAGGGAACTGCTGTGACTAACGTGGTGAAAGGATTTTTTGGGGGGGGAGGGGGAGTGGTTTTTTTCTTTGTTTGGTTTTTTTTTTTTGGTTTTTTGTTTATTTTGCTGCCTTATTTTTCTGCCAGATCCCTGAACCATAGTTCACTGCACAGGTACATGAAGCTCTTCCGGCTTCACGGCAGAGGTGGTGCAGGAGTGAGTGTAAGCAGTTCTCTTTACAATGCACCCCAGGTAGCCTCAAGGTCTGGTTATGAAGCACTGTATTTTTCTCCTGTTCTGTTCAGCAGAACATTCGGTACCCACTTTGCTTGTATATTCTCATTAATGAACTTCTGATTTGCCAGTAAAACTGGTAGCAAATCACCATGTGACTCAATGATTGGCAGCATCTGTTGGAGAGAGCAGCGGTTCCAAAGATTCAAAGGGCTCAGGTGCTACAGCAGAACTTCATGAGACACTGTTGGAATTGCTTTTGGTTATAATCATTGTTCTTTTCTCCTTGAAAACATTACTTTTACTTTACAATTTTAACTTCTGCAATTTCAGTAAACTAGTGCAGATAGCAGTCATGGGTCTTCCAAGACCAGAGAAAAAATGGCAGTAGGGATCTTTGTGTTTCAAGTGTAACAAAGCACATTTCCCCCAGTAATTTGTAGCTCAGAAACCTGCCTTCTTAGAACTAGTAACATTGCTACAGTCCCTTCTTGGAAATGAGTGACGTTCATGTACTTTGTTTGTTTGCACAGAGGATCATACCATGGAGGCAGCCCTTACACGCTGGGATTGACATCTCTTGGTCTTTATAAGCATGGTGTTGCCAATGGCTTTGGTTGTTTAACAGTGAGATTTTTATTTTATTTTTTTTTGTTTTTAAAAAATAATCTGGGTAACTAACAGTTTATTGCTGAATATTTTAACTATTAGTACATTTTCTGTTCTCAAAGTGCTTTATGGTTACCAGCGGCAGTGTAGCTGTTCCTGCTGTGTAAGTACAACAACAGCCAGAGCCTTCTCCATAAGGTTACTTATGCTAATTTGGAGACCGGACAGCCATAACACAAGTGGTCATGATTTACAGTTCTTTAGTCATGTTTGGTGCTTGCATGGTAAGGTGCAAATTAATGCTCTGAAGCCCTTTTCTCAAGTTCGTTTTGGTAAATCTGTGCAAAGCTGATCTCAGCTAATCTGAAGCAGATCGTCCCCCAGAATGAAGAAAAACCCTGTGATGTCCCTCGTTTCAGCAAGACAGGAGACATATCAATTGGGGATAGATGGCAATATGTTATCTCCCTGTCCTTGAGCACATAGGAAGCTGGCATTGGCTACTCTGATTTGTTCCAGTGATAGCTCAACCGCAGCACTGGCTATAGAAAGGGTCCTTTATAGGAGCCTCACAATCTTGCTCAATAAATGAGTTGTCTGAAGTCATGTGGTATTTTGTCAGCAGACACAATTAGAAGGCTGGAGTTCAAAATTTCCAGCCTGTAGGTACTTTACTAGATCTGCCTGCCTCTCTGTATTTTGCAGATTTTTATCATACTTCAGATTATTGAAGTATTACTAGCAACTCTAAAAATGTTGCTATTAATCTTATATAATCAAAACTGCTGACTAACTTAAAGAACAAAACAAAAGGAATTATCAACTGACTGACTATGGCTGGAACTTATTGGTTCCAAAACTCTGTTCCACCATTTCTTGAGGGTGTTTTTCAGACAAGTTGTGTGAACTAGATATCCCCTTTGACTCTAACAGACTTTTTGGGGTTGGTTTTGTGGTTTTTTTTCCACTAGTCATCCCTAAGTATGATCAAAACATCTCCTAGAAAGGAGTCATCAAATCTGTAGCTCTCTCTCTTATGCTTGGCAGACAATGGTACCAGATGTTTTTCGTGGTCCATGGGGAGGCAGCCACTGTAGAGATTCTCCAGTGCAAACTGTTCGAAAATGCAGCTGTTCTGAAGGTTGGTCAATGACAAGAAGTATTCAGCTATTAGATTAGAGAATACTAGTGGGCTGTGGAAACGGGTTATCTTTACCTCCTCAGGAAAGGTAGACCTTTGGAAAGGATTTGCAAGAGCAACCAAAGAAAATACTGCAGAGCGCATAAGGCATCTGCTTCCCACTGAGAAAGATTTGTTCTTAAAATCTCAGCCTTTGTTTCCAGCATTCGTCATGATCAACTCTGGAAGCTGTGGAACTCAGTTTGGCACATCTGGAAGAACAGAAGTGTTGATTGATGTTTTCCACCACTGACCATGACAGCTGCTTCTGAAATTTTGACAGCTCTCCAGTTTTTGTTTTGGAGTAATATGAAGGAATAGTAAGGACAACCTGTAGCCCATGATAGGCAAAAAGTCTTTCGTGAGGAAAAACATACTGCACGCAGCACAAAGTGAAAGCTCCTCTACTGCTTTCTTGTTAACAACAGTTACAGTGAATTATTTGCACTGTTCCCACAAGCACTGTGTAGTATTTTAATTTATGTACATACGTAACAATGTTTTCTTTCTAGCTTTGCCCTCACTAGTGAATGGGAGCATTAGCTACACTAATTGCTCTGTTCTTTATTTCAGTATAGATTGATAACGCAGCTGTATTTTCCAGAATCCTTATACCTGCACTAACCTGACAATTCCTCGTATCTTACAATAATGTTTATTAACCCCTGAGAAAGTGTCTGCTTGTTCCTTCTGCTGATGTAGGTGATGGACAAACACTGTCTCTAACCTACAGCTTACTGACCTGTACAATGTGTAACATCATCTGTTAGCTTTGCCTTGCTGTTTTGTATTTTGTCATTTGTTAGAGTATAAATGGTTTAAGAGAAAATAAGGGACTCTCTAATGTTTAGCCTTTTATTGTGTATTTGATAGGTGATATTTAACATGTAGTCAGATAATACTTGTTGCTTAGATGTGTAATTTTATGTTTTGAAGCTCATTTTGTGTCATTTAAAGTAAATTCCCTTTAAACTATTCTGCTGTGAACAGGTGTATGTCACGCTAAGGACCAGTACATTGAACAGTTCAAAGATACTCTGAATACCTCAGTACCAAAGACAATAGCTGGATTTATCGCTGAACCAATTCAAGTAGGTGGTTTGCCATTTCTCAGCTGTGATAGCAAAAATAGTGTGAAATGCTCAAATCTTACAAACATTAGCTACGTCCTAACCATGGACTTCTGCTGATTTTTATTATTTTTAATGCCTTAAACACCTTAAATATTTGAAAGAATGGATGCACTGTCTTAAAATCTCAGGTTTTGTTCCTGATTTCAGTGGAGCTAGAACTTTGCTCATTAAAAAGAGAATCATGATTAAACATACACATTTTTTTCTGCATTTAAATAGTGAGTATGATACATGCTGTTGTTTAGTGTCTAATAGCTTCTTCCAAATTTCATACTGCTTTTTACTGGTTTTGTAACCTTACCTCAATTCTCACTTTCACCTCTTCCCAACCATGTTGTCCGCTATACTTTTAGCAGCTCTCCAGCAAGTGGTGACAATGGGGTTCATTCTCTTGCTTCCTGCTAGTTTCAGAACTGCTGTATATTATGGTTCTTAAGTAAGAAGAATGGAGAATATATCCAGGAAAGGCAAGAGAAAAACTGTGAGAATTGTGACCACAGAGAAAATTGGAGCTGTTCTCTGGTTTCCTGTCTTTTAAGCCTTTACAAACAGAAGGCTAAGCAGGTATTGCAGTCCAGGTGTAGAGTGGAATTTCTGATCTGAATGAAAGAGAGGTGAAAAGAAGTGTGACCAGCAGGTCAAAGGAGGTGATCCTGCCCCTCTACTCTGCTCTTGTGAGACCTCACTTGGAGTATTGTGTACAGTTCTGGTGTCTTCAACATAAAAAGGACATGGAGCTGTTGGAGCAAGTCCAGAGGAGGCCACGAGGATGATAAGAGGACTGGAGCACCTCCCATATGGAGACAGGCTGAGAAAGTTGGGGCTGTTCAGCCTGCAGAAGAGAAGCTGTGTGGAGACCTCAGAGCAGCTTCCAGTATCTGAAGGGGGTCTACAGGGATGCTGGAGAGGGACTCTTCATTAGGGACTGTAGTGGTAGGACAAGGGGTAATGGCTTTAAACTTAAACAGGGGAACTTTAGACTAGATATAAGGAGGAAGTTCTTCACAGTGAGGTTGGTGAGGCACTGGAATAGGTTGCCCAAGGAAGTTGTGAATGCTCCATCCCCGGCGGTGTTCAAGGCCAGATTGGACAGAGCCTTGGGCGACATAGTTTAGTGTGTGGTGTCCCTGCCCATGGCAGGGGGGTTGGAACTAGATGATCTTTAGGTCCTTCCCAACCCTAACTATTCTATGATTCTGTGAATCTATGAAAACTGGCAAGGTGAACAGTAATGGAGGAAACAATGTTTTAAACAAATTAACCAAAGAAGGGATGTGAATTCTATAGTTAACTTGTCATCAAACACAGTCTCCAGGTTTCTCAGAATGTAGGTTTTTATGGTACTTGTTTTGGCAGCTTATCTTTCATCAGCTATTTCTTAGAGTAATCCAGTTTACAGTATGGCCTCACAAACATTTATACCAGCACAACTGACAAAACAGCAAACTGCCTTGTGAAATGGGAACGAGTGGCCTGGGCAGGAACGTTCTGAAACAGTTTCACTGCTGAAGCCAAAGACTTGAAACAAGGGTCTTGCTATTACCTGAGGGCTGGTGGTACTTTTCCTTGTTGTAGGATAGTCACACAGTGGAACTCCAGTTTATTTGTCTGTTCCTGAAGACATTTTCTTCTTTTGTCTTGGCAGGGTGTTAATGGAACTGTTCAGTACCCAAGAGGTTTCTTAAAGGAAGCTTTTCAGCTAGTACGGGAAAGACAGGGCGTTTGTATTTCAGATGAAGTGAGTTACTTTTTTTTTTACATAGCAGCTCTACAGTTTGGGGTACCTGTGAAAGTTGTCTTAAAAGAATCCAACTGGAAGCCTGGAAATAATCTAAATGAAAGGCTATACACTTCATAGCTTAACACAGTGCATCTTTCCAAGCATAGGAGTCTTCCAGTTTTTACTATCTTTATTCTGCTATGTGGTATTCTGACTTTAGACACAGACTTCAGTCCTTACCTTTTGGGAGCAGTAAATTTACACAAATATGTGATGTGAGGCTTGCCATGATGATACTTCCTTTTTTGAGTGTTGTTGGCGTACATAAACTCTAGAAGGGAATTGATTGCTGTACCCCTGCAAATATATTTTGGAATTTGGAATTGGAATTAAGAAATGGAATTTGCTTAGCTAAAGCTATTTTGAAATAGTAGTGAATGCTTCAAAGTGATGGTGATATGTACCTCAAGCATTACAGCAGCAGAAATCAGCAATCATGGGGTTGTTTCTGAAATGTGATATAAGCAACTGCATTTCCTCTCCATTTTGAAATGCAAGCTGCTTATTTATGCATCTCACCATGGCTAAGACATGGCAATGTGTTAGTTCTTTCATATGCAAAAGAAAAACCCAATTACAATAACAGTAAATAGTATTTTGCACAAAGCCTTCCGAGTAAGGATCCAAATGCAAGTTGACTCCAGATATAGCTGCAGTTTAATGCAAATCAGTAACAATAGAAAGACAAGAAAAACAAACCATATTATAAAATATGAGAAAGTGATGGGGATTTCTCTGTATTTTTCTTTTGAAAGGTACAGACAGGATTTGGACGGACGGGCAGCCATTTCTGGGGATTTCAAACACATGGTGTAGTCCCTGACATTGTTACTTTGGCAAAAGGAATTGGTAATGGCTTTCCAATGGCAGCTGTTGTTACAACAAAAGGTGCAAGAGTTCTGTTCTGCTAAGATTTAAAATAGAGCAATTACAAAATATAATGTACAATATTTACCTGCTGGAGGGATGTGTGTCAAACAGCTGAGCTCTATGAGTAATCTGTCTCAGTCAATTGACACATTAATTGGATTCTCATTCCTCGCTTTTTCTTACCAAGTGCTGTGCAAAGCTTTGCCTAAATGGGGTGAGTTGTATAATTGTAGCAGGGATGACCTTGTGAGTCATCCAGCTGATATAGCTGGTAAATCCTTGAAATCCTTGCTGAATTCACTGTATCAGTAATCAATATTCTGCGAGTTTATAAGGTCAGCTGCTTCATTCATACAAATGACTGCTTGAATCTAGTAAAGGAGGTTTGTAGATGTCAGTTTATGGGGAAAACTGACAGCATATGTTAGAAGTGTGACTTTTCTTAAAAGAAAGGTCTGTTTCTAGCATCTGCTAGACACTATAGGGCTTGGGAATAGTCATATTTTGCACAGACTACTTGCAAGAAAAGAATAAAATCTTTGTAGTATGTTGTCTCCAGTAGAATCAGGCTTGAAGCAAAGCAAATGTAACAGTTAAAGCACATAAGTACTGTTACCAAACATAAGGCAACTGTAAGAGTAATCAATGTTGTTCTTTTCTTTTAGAAATTGCAAGTTCCCTGGCTCAAAACCTTCATGTTAATACATTTGGAGGAAACCCTTTGGCTTGCACAGTTGGCGCTGCAGTTCTTGATGTAGGCAGAATGTTGTATAAATTTATATATTTCACTATATATATAGTATTTCATATATACTATATATTGCCACTTTTTCTTGTACCAAAAGATAAAAAATGCCTACATTTATTCTTACTACAAAGTTATATGTGGCCATTTTTTAGATTACTGTATAAAGTGCATAAACATATGCATGTATTATGCATACACAGCTAATACGCCCTACGTGTAGGAAAAAATCAGTGTTAGTTCCACTGCAAAATTTTCATCTCTCTAAACCCTCTTAATATGTTTTCAGAATTGTCTTTCTTTGTCTCCTTTATGTTCTTTACTTTGTTAATAAACACATAGGAAAGTGCTTTCTCAAAAGCCTTAGCCAACTCTTTCACACGATTACACAAATTACCAGCTAAACCAAATGTATTCTCTGGCACACATGCTAAGCAAAATTGTTTTCAGCTCCACAGCTTTTACCTTATGCCTAAAAAGCCATAATGACCAGATAGTTAAAAATATTTAAAGTCAGAATTCCTTTTGGGAAAAAAAAAAAAAATCCCTCATGAAAAACACAATAGAAAAAAGCTGCAACATATTTCAGTCATTATCCAGCAGAAAATCAGTCAGTGGGCAGTACGTCGCTATTCAGTTTGGTTTGATCATGTACAGACCATTTGTCCTGGAATGTCACTTCATTATAGCACCTACTGTTTCTATTCACATTACTTTCCTGAATATTTTAGGGTTCTTTTAAGCTACTTTATAAGATGGTTAATCATATAAATAACAAGATTTTGAAAAAACAGTTTACAAGTACACCCATGTTTTGGGACTTCTTTGGCTATAAAGTAACTTGTAGCCTGGATCTGAAATAAGTCCAAGGAGGCTGTCAGTATCAGAAAGAATAAAATGGACTTGAAAGAAAATTTAAAAAGGAAAAAGGAAGAAAAATGAAAACACCCACTTTAACGTCTGTAATTGTATTTTTGGGTTGGGTTTTCTTTTCATGTGAATTTTCTTAATGCAAATATTAAGTTCATAAAATGGTTTGTGCGTGTCAGGGCTGGTAGCTGACTGCATGTCAGAGAGCAGAGGAAGAAACAAAAAAAAGATAGTGATTATAAAGCATGGTGTGGTGAATCTAACTAAAACACTCAGGTTGTTCCCGAAAAATTGCTGCCCAGTACATACAGGTATGCCTTGTCAAATTATTTTCTTCTCATGATACTGAGAAAGAATTAAAATATATCTGGTAAGATCTTGAAAATAATCTGCTAGTCTGTTATTTTTCAGTTATGACTCCATGTGAGCATGAATTACTGGATTATGTTTAGAGGAGACCTTACAGCAGCCTTCCAGTATCCAACAGGAGACAAGAAAGCTGGAGAGGCACAGGGTGCCCAGAGAAGCTGTGGCTGCCCCATCCCTGGCAGTGTTCAAGGCCAGGTTGGACACAGGGGCTTGGAGCAACCTGCTCTAGTGGAAGGTGTCCCTGCCCATGGCAGGGGGTTGGAACTGGATGAGATTTAAGGTCCCTTCCAACCCAAACTGTTCTATGATTCTATGATGATGTTTACAGAATAGTAAGTAAAATGTGAAAAACACCACAGCAACAACAAAATATTATGTTAAATTGTACTCCAGTGACATTAGAGGATTGTAAGAGAAGAGAAATGTAAGGACTGTAGTAGTGAAGGAACACAGTCTGCAAGGAAGTGAGATACACGATGTGTCATCAAGCTAAATGGGGATTAACAGACTGTTAGAAGTTTTTCCTGCAACACTGTCACAGTATGTCATTTTAACCAGGCTATTGAAGAAGATGGTCTGCAGAAAAACAGTGAGGATGTGGGAACATACATGCTGCTGGAATTGGCTAAGCTACGGGATAAATTCAAGATTGTTGGGGATGTCCGTGGCAAGGGACTTATGATTGGAATAGAAATGGTGACAGATAAGGTTAGTGACTTCATTTACTCCTTTCAATTTACAGTGCCATTGAAAGATTTGTCACATTTTATTTTAGTTGAAAGAATAGAAACATTGTCTATTAAAAAACAGCTAATGAAGTGAGAAAACATTGCTCTAGCTAAAAAAGAGCCACAACATTCCAGCATTCAAGTATTTCACAAGTTTTGAGTAAACAGTGACTTGTGTGCCTTAACGGCATAAACTCATCTTAGAAAGCAGATAAATTATGTTGACTAAACTTTACAGCCAGAGATGGGGTGAGATTTATTAGAAAGACTAGAACATACCTCCTTTTCACAGAACTAGTTTAGAATACAGAACAGAAGTTTAATGTTTGCTTTCCTTAGGACCATTGCCACCCTCTTCCAGCTGAAGAAGTTGGTCAGATCTTGGAGGACTGTAAAGAGATGGGGGTTCTGATCGGCAGAGGAGGACTCTACAGCCAGGTACTGAGCCTCTGGTTACATGTAAAGCTTATTTTCTGCCCTCACGAACTACATTCCTTTTCCCTCAAGCTAAATTAACTTTAGTAAGTAAAATAAAAAAATTACATTCTTAGGAACTATCTCTGTTTAATCTTGCTTATTTCATAAATTGGGCAGTAGTAATTTGATTCAAGTATGCTGAACTAGCTCTGAGCTTGGAGTTTTCCTTCAGGGGGACAACCTCCCTAGAAAACCAATGTACTGTAGTCTATGTAAATTAGCAGCAATCAGCAATATTCAGGCCTGCTAAGTCTTTGTTCCTTTTTGGGTTATCACCCGACCTTTAATTTTTATATTTAAAAGAATTTATTTAGGAAACCTAAATAAAAAAATTTAAAAATAAAAAAGTTACTATCAAGCTCAGCAGTGCACCACAAAAGCAGGAACTGCATCTGAATGGGGATGAGCCCATCCCGATTGAAGATGCACCATGCTGTACCCACCTTCTTGCAGCACACAAATTAATAGCAGAGAACTGCCTCCGGGCTGGTAATGTCAGTGAAGTGCTCTGACACAGAGGAAGCAGCTTCTGTATGAGAGAGATGAAGGATGGCTAAAATAAATAGGGCACTGCAGCTGTCACCTCATCAGTTCTTCCACAAGTCACAGACTAGAACACAGGTAATAATAGCTCAGAGTGCAGTAAAACCTGATTCCATCTCGCATAACTGCTGTTTATCTGTGAGTGTTAGCTTTAGCTGAGGCTGTGGGTGGGAAAGACCATTATTTCACACTTGCTGTATAAAGTCCTGTGATATGATGACAGAAGAATTTAAACTGAAAGTTTTAAGAGTCTTATGTAAGTTAAATACTCTTGAAAACATTATAGTATAGATCAAACATTTGGATTTAAGAACCTGCCTTCTTGACAAGTTGAACTGTGCATATATCCCTTCCTGATGAACGTGCACTCGAGCTATAGTACCCTAACTGAAAATTTGTGTCTAGTGATTCTTTCATGGTACATTTGCTTAGAGGCCTTAAAAAAGACAGAGACTACAACAGCAAATCACGACGCAATGCAAGAGGCTGACACTCTCCGTAGATACTACTTTTCCCTGTAGCAAAGCTGCCAGAAAAGAACATACAACTCTGTCTGTGTTCTTTCTTAGTACAAATGCATCTAAGGTTTTATACTAGGCTCTATCTGGAATAACAGAGCTGTGAACATGACCGACTCTGGTCAAGTCTTTGTTGGAGGCAGTTACTTTGTCAAAGAGTGGGATGCAGTCAAGTCAGAACAAAACTGTTCCACTTCAGAGTACATTGATCAGAAGCCTCAGTCCCTGCTCTGTGGGTCTCATATAATGGAATTTTTCACACTTAGGGTTAGATTGAGGGGCAGAAAGTGAGTGCTGACCTAGATGGGTTGCTAGAAACTGTATTATTTCCATACAGTATTAAGGATTTCTTTTTTTTTCTTTCTTTCCCTCTCTCAGACATTTAGGATTAAACCTCCAATGTGCATTACTAAAAAGGATGTCGACTTTGCTGTGGAAGTATTTGACACTGCTTTACAGAGACACATGGAAAGGGCAGCTACAAAATAGACTTGATTTGTTTCCTTACACGAGATGAACACAGATCCCCTGATAATTGCCACCCAGACTCATCACTAATCTACACTGCATAAGAAAATCATATTCTGAAGGTTAAATACTTTCTCAGTATTCTAAGAGCAGTCTGACAGATACGGTGTTTAATAAAGAATACACTCTAATCTGTTTTGTAATCATACAACTCAGTCTACAGTGGCGTTGTGCATTAGCTGCACATCTATTCTGACATTAGCATAAAAATCCCTATTAGGATTAATTTGGTATTCAATGAAGAGGCAGACATATATTCATCTTTCATCTATGAATATCATCTAAAAATCAGTAATTTTCATAGAGGAACAAGAAAACAATAAAGCTGTTTGGAGGAAGTACACTGCTTGGACTGCGCCACGCACGGATCCCCCGGGACTGTAGTGGGGTGCCAGCTGCTGCCCTGGCCACGTTCCTTTGTACCGCGGCATTCACAGCCAGCTCTCATGGATGTCTTCACAGAAGCACCACACGCTCCCGAATAGCTGAGCATCGGTGTGCAGTGCTTTAGAACTGGCTGGAACCTGACTGCTGCTGCCACTGCCCCCACAACCAAAACCTCACCATTTACACCCAATACATACAAGCACTTGTAAAACACACAAATGATAAAGTATTTGGTTTTATTTAAATAAGAAAAAAAGTCAAAAAGTAATACTGCAGGGTTCAGACTGTGAGATTTCACTTACATAAGCACAGACAATCTCTGGCCGAGGAATACCCTGTTAAGAACACAGCTGGAGATTTCACACTTAAAACTGTTTACCCTTATTACAAAGATACACTGTAATTAGAGCACGAAAAAAACACAACGTTCGCACAAAGTTGTAGTTTCTAATTACAGTAATTATTTTTATCACGTGGCTCTAATCCAGTCCTCCTCTCCAAAACACGCCTTTCTTTTCTCCTTCCGCTTTCAGGATTGCACAGCACATCCATTAGTCATTTAGCAAAGATACAAATTCTGACTGACGAAGTAAGATGCCACATTTCTTTCTTACTTAATTTTTGTAAATCATCGTTTCATTACTTGCTTTGGTTTCAAAAAAAAAAAATATCAAAAATAAAAAAAAAACAAACAAAAAAAACCAAACAAAAAAAAAACCAACAAAAGGCATTGTGAACAGTCAGACGGAACATTTACCATTTGACTTTCATTCAAATATTAACATCTGAGTAAAATGCCTTGCCCCAGTAAAGGTACCCTGTCAACATGTGGAGGAAGGAGAGTATTGTGCCATTCTGCATGACAAGTTCACACTTTATAAGAACTTAGTTAATGCAAGGTCAGTGCTTCTGGAAAACTTCAGCACAGAAGTCTCCTAAACAACATACTACACTGAGCACCGCTCTCTCCACCTGCATTGACAACAGCCTTGTAAAATCCACCTCCACAGCAAAATCAGGTGCTTGTTATCCCACCAGGTAGACTTATGCATTTAAACAGAGGTGCAATAACAGCTCCCATGTTTTTCATTAGAAAAACAACAGAACGAATTCATTTATTCATGTCATTCATTTCTGTCTTCACTTTTCCCAGCAAGGCTCTTCCACCAGCATTTTTTTTCCGCAACACCTGGCATGCAGGTGCAAAACCAACAGGAATTGTCAAAAGTGATTAACCAGCTTAGTTTCCCTTTTATCTGCTGTTTATTGTAATTAAGTAACTTGAAAGGGTTCTTGGGGAGGGCAGAAGAAAAGCCTGTTTTCCTATGTTGGGATGACATTTCATCTTTGACAGATGACCAAAGCAGCACAGGCCCTTTTGCTAGCTGCACTCACCCTGAGCTAAGCCCTCTCAAAAGAAAAGCAGCAACACAAATGTTAAAAGAACAAAAAAAGAACAATAAGCCCTCTGTGCCTGCACTTTATTCACACAAGTTTCTACAGGAACACAAGGTGAATTTGAATTGCTACTTCCCATCCCCACTGTGAAAGCTGCTGAGATGGCAAGTCAAACACAGTTGTTAAAGAAAGGCTGATAAAGCCAAACCTAAGCACAGGTTTCTTCACAAGATACTATTCCTTATGTTTCATCTTCCCTTTTTTTCCCCAAAATTAGGACTTGCCTTCTCTGTTCAACTCCAGACACAATCAATGTTCACCTCTCTGCTCCGGGACAGCGTTCATGTACGATTCTGAAGACCGTCACTGTAGCAAAATTCTATCTGGTTTTACGTTTCTCTTTTTTGTTTCTGGTGTTCACAGCTCCATTTACAGCTGCTGCTTGTGTGGCTTTTGCATGTCCTGTGGCTTTCAGGTGTTCAAACAGTTTATTTCGGGATGGAAATGCAGAGTTGCAGGTGACACAGTGGATAGGGACTTCATTCTGCAATGCCAAAGAAAGCAAAAAAAGCTTCACATTTGTATGAAGGATGTAATAAATGCCATACACCAATTCGTTCTATGCAGTTTCTCCTGGACAATGAGATGTTAATGAGCTGTTTCTGTAAGATGTTCCATAATTGATTAACAATTACATTTGCTTGGGGTTTTTTAGCTTTTTAGCTTGGGGTTCTTTACTTGACTATACACACAATACTTGGATTCTAATGTAGAGAATTTAGTATGCCTTACCTGTAGTTATTACAAGAATCTGCTCTTTCTGGGAAGCATCAATATTGAGAAAAATACAGACAGTACCACCCATTACCTGCCTGGTGACAACAGTTCTGTCTTCAAGTGTTTAATTTGTTTGAACTGTCTTGGATACAGAGCTTTAGCAACTCTCTTAGAACTGAAATAGAGTCTGCTCTTCTTTGCAAGGACAAGAGCTGATGTTCCAGTCTCCTAGCTTCTACTAGGAGTAGAAATCTGTGGACTGGAGGTGATCAACCAACCTACCACCTGTTTGTAGTAATCAGATGACCAAGTTTTAAATAGCGTAAATATTGGACATACCATTGGGTGCTCTGAAGATGCCTTAGCAGACTTTTTTGCTTCCTTGGCTTTCTTCCCCTTAGGCTTAGTACTGCTGATAAGACAAAGAGAAACCAAGTTCAGTGCACAGGAACATTCAATATTTAAGAGCTTCTGACGGCTTTCAATCACCAACATCTCCCCTGCTTTCCCCTGTTCTTCCTTCACAGAACAGAAGGCAAGTGCTTCCAGCAAAAAAAAATAAAGCCATTTAATTTATACAATTAATTGTTGTTCTCAAGATTCAGGTAGGTGATGAATTGGCTACTGATAAGTGATGTGGCAGGGATCTGCAGTCAAATGCCACTTTCAAAGCAGGTCCTAGCACTCCTTGTTAAGTACCATATTTATTCAGCTCTGATTTAGCGAGGCAGGCCCCAGTTCACACTGGTGGGTAAATCTAGACTGGTTTGACAGTATCAAACATGACAGTGACACAGTGACTGCAACACTGCAAGTCAGCACACCTTTTAGCTTCACTTCTTGCTTCATCCACTTGACTGACATCTTCTGTAGCACTTGCATCCTCCGACACAACACATCTTTGGCCATCATTTACCAACTCCTCTGCTGAGCCACTGTCCTTGTCCACGCTGGGCACCTCCTTTTGTTCAACTGTTTCTTCATCACCACTTTTATCAAGAGAGTCCTCATAAGTCTGTCCAAACAGAAGACATGCAAGTTAACTACTTTAAGTTCATTACTGATTATGTTTATAGTATTATACTCATTTACCTCAAACATGGTTGGGTGGGGAGAACAGAAAGCCATGGACCCTCTTAATTTTACTGTGTGTTTTCAGTGAGACTGTAACTGGCAAACCCTTAGCTCTCATGTTTTGAAAGATGAAGCCACCTGTGATGAAGGGAAGAAACACCAATAAAACAGCCCCTAAAACTAGAGAAGAGAATGAAGGTAGCTTTTAATTATACACAGGGCTCATTCTGTTCGGGCTGCTATTTCACATTGTAAGTTAGTGGCTTTACTTATAACCATGCAAAATGTTAATTATTTAGACTAAAGCTTTCTGTGCCAGGAACCTGTTAGGACATTTAAGCCAAAATAACTGACCTGACTGAGGCTAGGTAAACACACTGCATTTTCCTTCTCTAACATCAGAAACAGTGGCAGCCTTTCCCACATACCAGAAGACAGAGTAGACTCAATACATGCTGTTTGGCAAAAGATCAACCCCTGAGCATGTCTAAAACAAAACAGCTCAGCTCCCAAAAGCAGGATAACAAATTTGACCCAGCAGTCCATTAATGTGACTATTGCCTCTAGCACCTTTTTACAGAGTCTCAGCTACCTGAAAAACAAAAAGAAGTATAGCTAAACTACCCTCAGGAAAAGAAAACAAAACCCATGGCAATTCCCTGCATTCCATGAAGCTTGGCAGAGGCTGGAAGTTATGTTTCCAGAAGAGTCTCAGCACAAGATTCCAGCTCATGCTATGCAAGAGTGGCACCTACTGTCTGAGCTCTGAACTGCAGAAGACCTCAAGACCAAGCTGATGGAAGACAGACTCGGTGCCTATATGCAACCTCTACAGCGAGAGCAGGATGTTCTGATTTCAAACTGAGGAGGCAAGACTTGAGCAGGAGCCCGATGGCCTGCATGGAAACAAGAAGGTCAAGCCAATCCTGACGTGGACTGTGCAATACCAGCCAAAGAGAACAAGAAAAATGCAGTTGCTTGAAAATCCCAGGAAGTTTCTCAAGGATGAGAGATAATGATGGTGTGGGACAAGGCACAGAAAGTGAACACATAATAGGTGGTTAGAGCTGTTAGGCTGGGGAAGACAGAAGACCACCTCAGGAAAGGATGGAAGAGGCAGGACCTAGTAGCTCACAGGGGCAAGGCTAGGATTGAAGTAGTAAGCAGAGAAGAGGTAAGACTTGAAAAGGATCAAGCATGAGGAAGGCAGGCAGAAATTTGCTCACTATGGTACTCCTGCAACTCAAGCCTGAAACAGCTTGCAGTTCTGGAATTTCACTCTGCTGCTGTCAGGACAGATCTGTCATATTATGCAGACCCAGATT